CTTTCTCTACCCCCGTGCTTCGATATGTCTACCGGTACCGAACTTCATTCGACACCGCGATATTATGACGTATAACGCGAGATAGCGCGAACGTGTCAGAACTGGATGCTGGCCGCCTGGCGCCGGGCAACAACATGATCGTTATTTGCGGCGGAAAATATCAGCTCTTTGGATCTCCGCCACTAGCGGATCATCGTCGATCACGGCCAGTCGCGCGACACCGATCGAATCGGCGAATCGTTATTGCAAAATCCACGCGTACGCGTAACCGGAGCTCTCGCTCTATGCTCATTTTTCATTTCGGAAGGTTTTACTGCGTCTCGATTATGCAGGGAGTAATCGGCAAAAAAAAATGGCGTTACATAGATTCCTGCACACACAAAGATCTCTTTACCATTTCTTCCGTCATAATTTACTACAAATTTCTACAGATGTTCTACGCTTTTTTATGGCTTTGTATCAGTAAAATTGCACAATCGTGTGAATTCAAAAATAAAATTGTTGTTTATGAATATAGATGAATATTTAAAGTTTGAAATTGTTGATAGAAGTCGATTTGTAGTTTCTTTAAAAAAATTACATATAATGATGGCAAAGACAAATTCAAATAAATATACTTTTCAGTTCTCGTTTCAATTCCGAATTATGTTCTAGAATTTTATAATATAAGTGCTTAACAGATATAATGACAGATCGATGCTTTACGAAAATATGTGACATGGCAATTTTATCATCACGTAAAATGACCCAGATAGAAAGTGAAGCTTTTAATGTAATCGCATATTTTATTAATAAATCAAAATTGTATTAATATCAAATAATTAATATATGAAATATTTTTAAATATTATATCCAAATAAATTATATTTAACTTTTCTCAAATAATTTGGAATCGAATTTCTCTTTTTTCTTAATAAAAGTCTAACAAAAGTTTATTAAATAAAAGAGTTTTTTAATTTAATAAAACGGCTTTATAAATATATGTATATACATGTAATTATATACACACACACACACACACACACACACACACACACACACACACACACACACACACACACACACACACACACACACACACACACACACATATATATATATATAAAAACATTTTCACTAGGTAAAAATCTAAAACTTCGATCTTAGCGTGTTGGAAACTTGTAAAATAAATAAAAGAAGAAGCAATAATAATAAACTAATAGTAAAATATGCTCGTGTGTTCGTGTTGTTCTATACCCATCATTGTATATCTCTCCCAACATTCGGATCTGTCACGAAACTATTGACAAGTCGTCGGATGATGGATGATATCCATCGCTTCATGGGTGTATGTACTATATTATCCGTATTAGGTAACTTTGTCCTGCTCTTAGACCAAAGAGGTTTCCTCAACGTCAAACAATTCAAATTTGCATTTATCATTGTTTGATTTATGTGATTAATTGAATCAGAAGAAAACTGATAGTTTGACTATACTAATTGCGTTTGATTGGATATATTAAGAAAGTGTATTATCTTTGTAAAAGAGCCTTTAAAATAATTTAAAATTAAAAATTGTAAATTTTAATTAATTTCAATTTAAAATTAGAATTAAAAATTTAACAACACAATTGACACATTACAATGAAGTTTGTTGAAATTGAAAAATATAGTTTGGACTGTTTCTGAATGTTTATGAATATGTATTTTGAAGCTAAATAGTCATGAAAAAGATTGATGTTCCGTCTGCTTGTAAAATAAGTCGATCCGCGATACTTTGTGCAACGTTGGATTTAATTATATGCATTTACACTGAATGAAACTCTCAAAACTCATATACTACCCGAGACGAGCGGCGTGAATATCGAGACTCGAAGCGCAATTTGGTGGAGGAGAGGTGGGTCAAAGAATCACGTTTCAGGAAGAGTTTGCTGCGGAAACGCAAGAAGGGCGTAGATCGATGGTTCGCCGGGAGTTCGAGTACGTATAACGTAGGAGTTTCCGCATGAGTCCAGAATGAGCGAGGATCAAAGGGAGCGAGGGAGAGAGGAGAGCGGGTTTATACAGGGTGGGATAGAGATGAGACGTCGAGTCCGAGGTGAATCGAAGCGAGAGCGAGAGATCACGAAAGCATCGCCGTTATCCGGTAATTGCGCCATGGCGTGTCAGAAGGGGTGCTTAATGGCAACGATGCAAATACCGATACCGGCGCTAATACCAGTGATTTCGCGGAGAACGATCGAAGGAGAGAAGCCAGTAGTTTCGGGCATGGAGACCTGCGATTTTTTTCGGATTCTCCCCGGTAGACTGTTCATCCTGTTTATGACATGCCGCTTGTTTTACGTAAGAGTCCTTGAATCGATCATACGTGAGAAACGACGATGACAGGTTGGCGTGACTTGTCTCTGAGACGAAACGAATAAGAATTTCGTATGTTCGAGATATACGATGTTAGAAATAAAAGACTGGCGTAACACGAGGAGGAGATAATGGAGATCGATCGTTCTCGCTATCGATGATACCATTAGCGTAGCGCGGCTGTTGGACGGCGAAGGAAAAAAATAGGCCGTTACGGTGAATCATTTGGTTTTTTTGTTCCGCATCGGTGAAGGCAGAATAGGAAATTATTTCACGGATCGCGTCGTTTGTTTCCCTTTCTACTACTATTTTGTATCCGACGACACTTGTCGCAACACAACTTTACTCGCACAGTACCACCGTTTTATCAATCGAATCCAAAACGAGTATCGAGTATCGAGAGCTTTTTGGCACTCATAACGGTTACGAGAAACCGAATGGGGAAATGGAGTAGTCATTGAAAGAAGAAATATGAGTCAACATTTTTGCCGTGCTAACCTTTTTCCAGTGCTTTAGATTAATTAATTAATTACCCCTTCTCATAAAAGCATATTACCTCTGTATCTCTTATACAAAATGCATAGAGGTAAATATTTTATATAAAAAAAATATCTTTATATAAAATAAAAATACGTAGAAAAATTAAGAATGTCTAAACTGTACTTTACTTCTATTTTACTTCTACTTTACTGAGTTAAAAGATTTAAACAGCGGCGAGCGATGTTTCTCTCACTGATTGCGAGAACTTTCCTTTCTCGGACGAGCTTTCCTTCTCGTAGCGATGGATTCCAATCACGTCGCATATATCTTTCGATTGTAGAAATTCTTTAATTGTAGAATCTTACCTTGTCCGTGTGATTGGTGAGCTTCTTGCCGTCCATATACCAGGACAATCTAGCCGGTGGCCTCGAACCCACCGTCATGCAATTGATGTCGTACTTCCGATTGGCGCTGAGGGGTGCGTGCTCGCTGCTGAGTATCGTCACGCTCAGTGGCCTCACTAAAACAGCCGAGGACGATGGCGACATTACAAAAGTGTATAGGGGGTAGGTGTACGGCAGGCGTTGATGGCGCCTGATCAAAAAGCACGAACAAGAATTGCGACAGCTGCGGAATTGCGGTGCTTAGAGTGGCCACGGACTTGTACCACCGTCCGTCCGCTCCCTAATGCGTTTTAAACGAGTGGTACCGCTGCAGTTACCACCCCGAACGTATTGCCGCAAAACCTACCCTCTGATAGCTTCGGGGGAGGGTAGTGGCGCGTTCACATGGACCGCACCTCTCATAGATTAAGGCTGGCGTATGTGGGCGTATGTGTGACGTTTCACGTTGATTAATTGAGACAAGTATCGAATATAGTGCGAAGAAAATAAAATTAAACATCAATCTTTAGCCTAATCTTAAAATATATTACAAAAACGTAATTGTCAGCGCGTAACGATATTCCGTTATTTGAGATTCTCTTCGAATCGCTTCCACAAAATTATTTATTATTCTATATTTTTATTTGACGATGAATTTACCCTTTAGTCGATTTAAAAGGGTAGGATTATTTTTATTATTTTTATTATTGGTATTTTACTTTAAAAGAGAGATTTCGAAATTGTTGATTAGCGAAAACCTTTCTTTCAAAGTAATACCAATAATAAAAGTAATAAAAATAATATTGCCCTTTAAATCAACTAAGGGATAAATTTCATCATCAAATAGAAATACAGATAAATAATTTTGTGGAAGCAATTCATATAAATAATTGTAACAGGTGACTCATCGCGTTAGCTTTTAATATCAAAAAAATCCACTATTTCCGATGAAAAGCTGTTTTATTTTGAATGAAAAGTCGATACTTTAAAATACCGAAAAATCTCATAAGCGGAGCGCGCACAACCGCAATGTTTACGAGACATTAAATTGTCCTCCGCAAAGGCGTCACGGTAAGTGGCGGTATTGACATCCCGAAGACGTGGATGAAAGTGCCGATGTATTAGTCGCTCGGTTCAACCGCGAAATAAGTCTCGGCTGAATCGCTCGCGCCCAGCCCATCCATCGAATTTAATCGGCAACGGCTCGGCAAAGGAACGTCTTTCTTCCCGGCTGTGCCGAGATACGGGAAGGCGCGAGAGCGACAGCACGACGAGGGCAGATAGGGAACGAAGGAGCGGAGGCAAAGAGGCAAAGGCAGAGGAGAGATTTTTCATTCAGGCCGCACCACGCCCAGAGAGTCTGGAATTAAACTTTCAGTACGCCGAACTTTTGACTCCGATGAAAAAAAATTTCCGCCTCTTCCTTCCTCTTTCGCATCCACTATTACCTTCACCTTCGCTACCTTAATCCACCGGCTACAATCACGCTCGCCGCTTCATCGTGTTCAATCGGCATTGGGTGCTAAAAGCACGATTACCAGCATAAGCCGCCGGCACTCGAGCGCCTATACAATCGCGTTGCATATTCGCATCACGCAATTCCGCGTGCTCATGCGGTAAATGCGGCATCGTAATTCCGTCTTGAACGCTATTCAATTTTCCGATCTTGTTTAAATATCATTAGATCCTTAGATATTCATAGTCTTCCCCATAGACGTCGGTCTTTTATTCTCGATCACGATTTCGTGTCTGGCAAAAATTTTTTGTTTCCCAAGAAGAACAAAATTATTTTCTTTTTTTCATCGAAAGGGGGGGAAATTTTTCTGCTCTAATTTTTGCAAGCTAATCAGAAAATTGGAGGCCCGCCTTCTTTCACGATGCTTATTGCACCGGGTCGAGCTTTTTTATCTCGTTTCTTTTTTCTCATGTTTATTATTTCGTTATTACGAATAAAGCAACGTGCACGTTTTTTGCTTTCTCGTCGTTACGTGAGTGGACTAGGGGAGAGACGTGACCGGGAGCAACATTCTTCTCACGTTGTATAAACGTTCGTCAGCTTTTTCGCAGGTTGTATTGTTGTGTACTGCCGACGGATGGTCATGACGAATAGCATCGTGCGAAAAAGTGCGTTGGTGTCCATTAGATGACCACCGAGTGCCCATCGAGCATACGAACGCGTCATAGTCACCCCGATGATCTAATGGGTGTCTGACGGATGATGCGTTACACGCATGAATCAGATTTATACAAATATAATGTTTTCTTTGTCCCATAGATTCGGTAGACATTTCTTTTCGCTTATCGGAAATTTAGCAATTAATAATTTCTACGTATGCATGAAGTATTTATCGATTGTTTTCATGCTTTATAAGAAAATATAAATGATTTATTATAAATCAACAAAACGATTGTTCAAGTCGACATTTAAATTTGAGATTTTCTTTAAGCTAATAATTAAGCTAATAATTATTCTAGAATTAATAGATTTTAGAAAAGATATCATTCGACAATAACGTCTGATTTGAATAGGAGCTCTTCTAATTGTTCTCTTAATAGTGTATTGACCTGTATTATAGTTTCGATCAGAAAATTCTGTATCATTTCCATAATGAATCTGTATCTTCGACCAAATAGAGACGAGACTTCATTTCGTTTTATCTCATAAAATAAAATTTTAATTGGAACTCGTTGGGAAAGAGAAAATAGACTATTACAAGAAACCGATAATATAATGGAAAGTATCGGAATGCAATTTATTCGATATTAAAGAGTACTGATAATTCTGCTTCTGGCAATTACCATTTTTTTATGACAAAAATAAACGTTCATATAAAAACTTTCACATATCTATAAAGGAGGCTGCGTCTGAAGGCTGCTTAGACAGACAATCTCTAAATAACGCCAATAACGAGTGGGCATCAAGTACGACTCGAGATTGCCGACAGAGTCGCAAAAAGATTCGACACGGGTTTCGGGGATAAGAGACACGACGGAACGACGGAATAAAAACGATACTAACGAGATCGGGGTGCAAAAAGGGGTTAAAGAGAAAGGGAGCGAGCGCGGAGCGAGCCGAGGAGAGAGTGAGAACGGGGGAAAGACGGGATGGAGATAGAGAGAGAGGGAGAGCGAGAGTGAGTAACGAACGAGCGGACGAGGTTGAACTTATTGCTATCGCGAATTGAAAATACGTCCGTGCTTAATCCGGCGGGGCTTACGGTCGCGTTTGCATATCCTGGCTGCTTACTTTCGCCCGGATATCCCGCAGCACAGTCGCCAGTTTTTGGCGAGTCCGCCGGCGCCACCGTTACCGGCCGGTCTCCTCTCTCTCTCTCTTTCTCTCTCTGTTTATTCGTACTCGCTTTATTACGTTTCCCCCGGATTAATGCAAAGTTACAGACAAAAAGATTGTAGGTATTAAATGTACTGGCGCACGCACTAGAAAAACAGAGCGGCTTCGTATCCGAGCGAATAATGTTACATAGATGGACCGAAGTCGACCCGG